CTGATAGTCTGATACAATGTATGTACTATATGTGTATCTCTCTTCATTAAATTTCCCCTTCCAAATTATATGTTTTTGTGCTCCTAATATAGGTACTGCAGCAAAAACATAACAAAGACAAAAGCTAGAGGTTTATATATCAGTTCTTTCCTAATAAGCATAGGTATCTCTCATCCTTTTATCCAGCCACTTTTAGCAAGGATCCAACACTTACTTTAACATCTCCGTGATATGGATATTTTCCTCTTTTTATCAAACATTAGATCAGCTCAAAAAGTCCAAGAATAGAAATGCTGGCGAAAATATCAAACTTGAAAGATTTTAAGTGAAGTAAATTAATTATTTTTGCAAACATGTCCAGTTGCAGATTAAGAATATGATCGGTCTCAATTAAAAAATTAAATTGAAATTTAGGATGCATAATTATTATTATTTATATATTATATGTTCAACATTGCCAACTCAAACAATGGTGTTTATATTTATTATATTGTAAACATTTATATATGAAATATAAATTACTATTTATGTCTAATCAAATGAAGGAAAAAATAAAGGTCCTAATTATCCATATGAATCTTGTCTATTATGGGTCGGAATCATAATTGAGTTCATTCAGAACGTTTGGTTAGTGACTATAGACTTTCTTGTAATTTGAAAAAAATTAAGATTGAGATCCACCAAATTTACAGGTATATTATATATGATAATTATGTTGATGTTATTCGGATAAATATAATTCCTTAATTTTTGTTGACTATTCAGACTAAACCTACAGAACATACGACCAAGATCTAATTGTTGGCGGGTCCAGGTCATTCCACCTTGCACTCCACCACCACCAATGTTATATATATTTTTTATACTATTAAAAAACTATGGGTTACGTTAAATCTTAAATTTTTATTTTTTTAATAAAAATATCAAGAATCGAGATTTTATATAGGTCCACTAGATTAAAATAGGTAAATTTTGATCGAATTAACAAATTTTGAAACTAGTAAATCTTATGTTTTTTTTTTCATTTTAATATATTGTACTAATATCTACATCTGAAACTAATTAGTCCAAGCTTAGGTTGAGCAATATAATTTTTTTAAAAAAAAGAAACTATAAACAAAGCAAATATGTAATTTTGATTTACCAGAAAGAAAGTCTGTTACATGTTAAAGCACATTGGGTAAAATTCGCTTTGTGATCATAATTGTCAAAGAACCACGTAAAATAATATAGGTTACCCATACCAAATTAAACCAAGAAGGTCAATATACAATATTCATATAAAGTCGAATTTGCATTGAAACTTTATGGATATTTAACCAATTATTTGACCAATTTGGTTAAATTGGAACTTTACTTGAAGTAAGCTAAACACATTATCATGGGTGTATAAGATTAATTAAGTTGAGATGTTCGCATGTGCAGCTCAATCAGTTATAGAAGTGAAGTTTATAAAGTATGACCAGTGATCGTAAGCAAATGTCTAGCTTTTTTGATTCATGTTACTATGATTTACATCCTCCTAAATGCTCTGTCGGGCTGTGTTGGGGTTCAACCTTTTGGAAAGTAAGATTAAGTTGAGATGAAGAAAATCTACAAATTAAAGTCCTCCTTCGTACTCCATCCTTTCCTGTCCATACACGTAATACATACCAGATCAGAATGTGTCGCCCATCATAAATAAAAAAAAAAAAAATTGAATCTTGATCGAATTGTGGGTATATAGAGAAGCATATCAGAAACAAAAACAGTGTCACATATTCAGACAACTGTGCACAAGCTAAGGTAGTCTTTAGAATTCTTGTTTGCACGTGATTCAGTTAGGCAGGCCTAGCTGTTATTCTTCATCAATGGTTCCCCTAGCCAAGAATGACCTTGCAATCCACGTTATATATATATATATAGAGCGTGAGAATCAACCTTAACATGCAAATTGCGAACTTATGATGAATTGCACCGTACTTATTATATAATTGCACTGTACCTGGATACAATTACACCGGCAAGGTCCTCCAGCATGTGAGTCATAACAGTGCAATCATATAGTAGTTGCAGTGCAATTCTCCACAAGTTCGCAGGTTCAGTTTGGTTTTCGGCTAATTAGAAATGTATATATATAATTATATATATGATGAAATGGGTATTTAATAAATTAATATATTGTGTACTGTGTGCAGTGCTGGAGTTGTCTGGGGAGCATCTCTTTCACAAAACTAGAATCAGATTGGCTAAGAGACTGGGATTTGTTTGGCATGCTGTCCGGGCCTCTTCATCTTCAAGATCATCTTCTCTTCTGTTCTAACACAACAGAAGCAACAATTGCTTTGATTTCTGTGTGTAAAACAGAATCTTAAATTCTTCTTCTGCAGCTAGCTAGAACCAATATAATAATATAGTATTTATTATTCGGATTAATTATTGTTAATAATGTTTTTTTATTGTTATTTTGTCTGGGGGTGCTGTGTGAGCAGTATATAGTGAGGGAATGTGAGGATGAAGCAAACTGCTACTACCCCATCCACTTGATTGTATCTCCTCTTTTGTCCCTTCTCCATGTGACTCACTACTCATCTCTCTTGCTCCCCCTCTTAACTGGTAAGAACCTTCAATTCTTCATCTTTCTGAACTTGATTGATTTATTCAAGAACATCAACTTATTTTGTTCCCAGAAAATGATAATCTTAGCTTGCAGCCTGTGATATCTATCTGATTATATTATGATCATCATATGATGATGAGCTAAGTCTTGAAAGACAGTAATTTTCTAGTGTTTTTGATGCTCAAATCTTGTGAACATCTGGAATTTGAAGGGTGTTTTCTTTTCTTCTGGGATTTTTTTTTCCTTAAATTTTCATGGTTTTTGCAGGTAAAGGTGTACTGGGGTTCAGTTGTTAGTTATAAGCAGCATTAGTTTGAGGTTTGAAGTGACAAAAGATCAGACAGAAATGGAGAAGATTCTTAATCAATACGAAAAGGAGTACATGAAGATGGCCATGTTAAAGCATGAAGAAACATTCAGAGAGCAGGTAAAGACTAAAGACAGTTTGGTTTGTTTTAGTAATTTAGTCTCTGCTCATGATAAGATTCAATTCTAAGGTTGAGTTTACAAGAATTATAAATATATATATGTTGGATTCATTTTGTGTTTAGGTTTATGAGCTTCATCGGCTGTACCAAATCCAGAAGATACTGATGAAGAACATTGCAGTTCAGAAGAGGCAAGAAACTCAAGAAAGGGAGTTGAAGAATGCCCATAATCTTACCCAGGATTCTGATCACAAGAGGACTAGGCAGATTCTGGACTTGGAAAGGCCTGTAGCAGATGAAGGCGGGATTGAAGACGAGAGCGAGCTGGAGTTAACGTTAGGTCCATCGTGCTACAACCGGAGGAGGAGAAAGGCGGCATTGGAGCCTTCAGATTCTGCTCCCAGCTTCTCTTCTTCCACAGATAGCCATGGGAAGGAGAGCTCCAGAGAGGACTTAAAATGGGGGATTGAATTGCCAGCAGCCTTAAACCAAAGTTTTCTTCAAGGACAGAAGAGTTCGAACGTCGAAGAGCTGCAGTTTAGGCAGGATAGATTGAACAACCCTCCATGGCTTTTCCAGGCTTTGAGCCTAAACATGACTTGATCGAATTCATGATATGATGGATAACATGTTAGAGTACTAATTCTGCGATTGATGTTATTTGTGGTGCTGTTGCCTGTTGGCTAGCTTTCATCTTCTTCCACCAAATCTTCAAACATGGCTTGTTGAGCATATAACCATTAATGTGCAATCCAACTATCAGCTTAGACTTTTAGTTGAGATGGAACACATGCTTCAATTTAGTATCAGAGCCAGGCCAAAGGTTAGTCTTAGATTCAGACAGACCAGGAACAATGTTTTCTGGGAATCTCAAAACTTTCCCACATTAGAGGACTCCAAATCACATTCGTTTCCGGACTTTTAATCTCTGGGTAATGGTGATTATACCCAAGAACATACTTCTATCCAACCAGTACTTGGACTAAACCTCTTTTTTTCTTTTTAATTAATCTCCAAGATTCTGTCTTAGTTCTTGTAATCATCTCCTCTCCTAAGAAAAATTCAATCTTGAGGGCAACTCCGATCCAGCCAAGTTGATTAGACGATTGACTTGGTAATCACAAAATTATAAGTTTGACTCAATTAAAGCATCTCTTAGTAGAGATTCAAACCATGACCTTTGATCTGGCTCTGATACCAAATTGAAGCATGTGTGTCATCTCAACTAAAAGCTTAAACTGATAATTGGATTGCACATTAATGGTTATATGCTCAACAGACTCCCAACGAGAACGAACAATTGGCTTTCTTCGTTTGAGCCAGTTTGGTCAATTAAAGAAAAAAATTAAATCTTGAAAGATTTTTCCAGCTATGTCCAGCTCCAAGGAGCATGATGAACAGTGATGGCAGAAGGGAATCTCCAACGTCAATTACAATTAAGGTTCATTGTATTCGACTTAATCGACAGATTATTTAATGTAATCTCCAAGTAAATAAAGATTTGTGAGAACATGCCATAACTCACAGACAACTTGGGAGGAATCTGATCTCAGCAAACATTTGTTTATTAAAATTAAAAAAAAAAAAAAAAATGGTTAGTTTCTGGGTTTAGTTTAAGAACATAGGATTAGGCCATTCGACCACCTTTCACGTTCTGCTTTAATTAACGTTCTTCATTTCAATTCTCACCTACCACATGGAACATTAAGCCATTAGAAAACCTCGTTTTTGTCTGCCACCAAATGTACATTAGATTCCCAATTTGAACCTAATATGAGCTGCTCAGCAATAATTTTGTTTTCCAATATACCCAGATTGCTCTTATGCACCCACTCTAACAAGATTATCTTGTTTATATATAAATATAGATCAGATATCCTGCTTTTATACAGAAATTCTGTGCCAAATCTATTATTTGGACAGCATCAGCTTCTGTATTATTATCATTATTTGCATAAAAGGATTGGCTTGATCCCAGACAGTGCTAGGCTGTCTGGATATTTTAAAATTTTTTGGGTCAATGCTTTTTATCCAAGAATGAAGAACCACAATCATTTTGAGAAGTGATGCCCCATTCCTTGTCCTCTATCAGATAGGGCATCTTGTGTCCAAAATCTCCATTAATGTCATTGTAACATCAGATGATCAACTTTTGTATGTGTGCTTTGATGTTGGATATACGGAATTTAGTATATTTACGTGAGGTCAATTATCACAGAGTAATATTTACAAAATTTAGTATATTTACGTGAAAGTACAATTAGGCAACTGTACTAAAAAAGATTGCAATTACATTCCTCAACACTCTAAATGTGTGTAATTTCACCTCCTAGCTGGTTGTGGAAGTCACCGTCCACATCATCATCAAGCAGCCGGAAGAAAGGAGTGCTAACCGGCTAGCAGGTAAAATTGCACACATTTAGGATATAGAAGAGGTAATTGAAATTTTTTAGTATAGTGACCTAATTGCACTTTCACGTTCATTCAGTGGCCGATTTGGACCTTATTCCAAAATTAAAAAACAAAACAATAATAATAAAAATAATAAAAAATAAAAAGTAAATTTCTGCTGCTATGGAACAGCCAAACAGGTATGAAATATGAGAATATCAGAAAGCCCTTCAAAAAAGATTGTTTCTTTATATTTTTGGTCTTAGTAATATGCCATCTCTAATATTACAAGTCTTTGGGTAGGGATATACAGAGAAACTTATCATCAGCTACTACTGGTTGAATTGTATTCATCAATCAATGCACAGAGACAAAATATGATTTACAGTTTTATCACACAGGAAAAGAGGACAAGCAACATAGGTTGTCTGGCAGAGAATCCTCTTTCCTAAGCATCAAAACAAAGCAGTAACCTTAATCCCAGTATGCATCACTAAGAAAAAAACTGCCTATGAAATGGAGTGGCGCCGATTTTTACTTGGTTTGTTTCTGCCTTTGCTAGGTATGAGTCCATCAGCGCGAGCAAATGGATAAAGTTTGCCAAGCTTTCTGGAAACGGAGCTCATGAATGATCTTCGGGGAAGAGGAGGCTTGTCAGCAGATGCAAGAGTGATGCCTAAGGGACTGCTGGTAGCTGATTTATCCGAAGACTTCTCGATTTCTCTCAACCTCATTTTCATCTTCACGAGCTCCAGTTTCAGATCCTGGTTTTCTCTTCGCAGACTTGAGAGCTCGTCTGGAACGATGGGCTGGATGTCAGTGGAGAACTGAGTCGCCACTTTGGAGGGAAGAGCGGGAGATTCACCACCGCCATTCATGACCTCTCGGAGGCGTTGCTGCTCATAATAAAGCACTTGAACGACGGTCTGAACTGGGAGGCGGTCATTCTGGGCAGCATGAGCACAAGCTTCTCGAGAGAGTTTTTGGCAGTCCATAACGCTGCACACTTTCTTTCTCTCCATATCACTTAAAGCAGGGTGTGCCTTCAAATTGTGCATATTGCATAACGATATTTGAGTAATCAAAGAATTGAACACGTGCTGATAGTTGGATTGCACACCCTGCGGTGGGTTCCAAGCAACACGTGGACCGTAGTCGCGATTCGAACCATGACCTTTGGTCTGGCTCTGATACCAAATTGAAGCATGTGCTCCATCTCAACTAAAAGTCTAAGCTGATAGTTGGATTTCACATTAATGGCTCAACACGAAGAAGTAAAGACTAACAAAACGTTGTGCAAAGTGAATGTGCATACCTTCAAGTAAATGTCAATGGAACGGTACATCCCATCTTCTGTGATTCTTGATTGCTCGGGGATAAGTTCAGCGATATTAATGAACTTCGAGACAGATAGATTACGATCTGAAGCTATTTCAGCAAGATAAGTCTCCATTAGCCTCCCCACACGCTCCATATCACTAGGCGAGGGAGCTACATATTCTTCATTATCTGGATTGAAGCCCGATCCCCGATTTCCATTTCCCTCCAGTTGATACTCCAGGTAGTTCATCATAATCCGCTGCACAGTTTCAACATCGAATAACGTGTCCCCAGTGAAAGAATACGAGGGGATTAACAAATCGTCTAAAACAGCCTGCCCAAGTTGCAAACCGAGTCTCTTCTCCAAGTCAAGCCTGCAAGCAACGGTTGTTTCCAGATATATTGCTGCTCTTAGGAGCATTGACAGGAAGCTAACCGATAGGGTGTTCTTCTCCCTTGGCAGAAGGCTAACAATCGTTTCCAAAACGACCCTCTTCTCGTGTTCTTGTCTCGGTTCGATTTTCTTCCTCCCCTTTCCAAAGATTTCCAAACCTCGAAGAGATTTCTGGGCGTAAAGCATGAGGATCGGTCCAAGTCCATACTGCTTGAATCCCCTTGCCATCATTGCAATCAGAACCCTTTGGAAAAAATCAATTCTAAGCACAGTCATATCCTCAGCCCACCAATCAACTATAGGCTTTGTGCTTGGAAGCGTCGGGGAGGAGTTTAAACCATTAGTCCCACCACCCTCCACCACCACAGATGAGCAGAATTGGCTATCTTTGCAGGCTATATACGCTATTTGATCAATGCATCGGCTCACCAGTTTCACTTTCTCCGCCATTGGGAGAAGACTCTCCGAAGAATGCAAAATGGAAACCGCCCCTGCAAGGCTGTTGAGTGCAACTTCGTTTAAGTAGGCCTCCGTCCTCCCCACCAAGTTCCCAACCGCGTAGTCCTCAGTCATCTCGAGATACTCTGCCGTGCATCTAAGCATGCCAATGTTCTCTGTGCTTATCTCGAAATTAATCCCATAACAAAATTTCGCAGCGAGCTCAAACGCCTCTGCTCCACCGGGGATATCAGGGATTTCAACTATAGAAAGATCAGCATCACTCGACTCAGACACCAATTTCCTTATGTACCCACACTTTGACACTAAAGGGAACTGTGTGTATGTGTATGTGTGTGTGTGTGTGAAACCAGAAAACAAAGGGTCATTGTCGAAACATTTCAGTCCGAAAAACAATGCAAGAATTCAAGAAACAGGTAAACAAGAATCAAGAACTGAACAAAAACATGTCATAAGTCATAAGAGGAGTTTCCAGTCCAACCTTGTGGAGTGAAAAGGATGTCCCTCCAGCATGAATCGTAACGTCGCTAGGGATTTCCTGGGAAAAGATCCTGTCAAGGAGTTCAGGGCATAAAAACAAGACAGCACAAAACATATCCACAAACCAAACCAAACAGTTCCAATAAAAGAAGAATCTTGATAAAAACAACTGGGTATACCATTCAGTGGTCCTCTTCATGGCAGTGGAAAGAAGCTCCTTCTTTTTGATAGACAGGTTATTAACAATACCCTCTTGATCAAGATCCACCATGGCAATGATCAGAGAACTCTGAGCCCAGAAATGTGCTCATCAACACTGAAGATGATGATGAGTTAAATAAGCAACTTCCAACTTTTTTAAAGCAAAAAATTTCCCTCTAGCTATTCTTGTGCATCAAAAGCAAAGCTACTATCTTGTCCCCAAACAATTAGTACCCACTTTTTTTTTCCACAGTCTTCCTCTTCTTTGTCTCAATAATGCACAACCCTACCTATCTTCAATATCTGATCAGCCAATAACTGCATTATTATCATCAACCTTTGCAATCAATCACCACCCTAGTGAAATTCCCATAATAGGCATTGCACAAAGAATCTATTATCTACACACACATGTAGAACCTGAATGTCAGATGGCAGAAGAGGAAGGGTATAAATGTATAATGAGTAATATGCAGAAAAATTAGGGTTAACTGGCTTGAAACAGATGTATAAGTGTGTGGTTGTAAATGCAGGAGGTTTTGTATAAAGGGATGAGATGATGAAGGCGCCAAAAAAGTGGAAGTTTCCCTGTGCATTTTCGTCCACAAAAACACCAATCTTGATTGATTTCTCCTAAAGATTACCATTCTCAAGAGTAAATCTGATACCTAAACTAACAGAGATTCAGAGACAAAAATATACGATGTATCTGTCTGGATTTGGGCGCTGGGCCCATCCCATCTGGTTGATCAATAATGCAACGTTCAAGTGGTTCAACCACTGCTGAAGAGCCCGCAGAAAGCTCTGCCTGGCTCAATCCCTGGGCCCTTTTATAGAGACTCAACATTATTGATCTTCAATCAATCGCCATTTTCTTTGCACGGTACGTGTTGTAAGACTCTCACGTACATAAATTGTCCTGCTTTTCTTGGGTGCGTGGGTGTGGGTCGAGTGGATGGGGGTAATAGTGTGTTAAGGTGGACATCGCTATCATCCTATGTAGCATGAAAATGAAAAACACGGACAGTTCAGTTGGTTCTAAATAAGAAAGAGAAAATGTTCCGAACAGTTCAATTAATAGTCTTATAGTCCTCTCATCTAATGGGTGGCTGAATTAGCCGGAGTGGGGAGTGAGACTTACACCTGATTTTTATAGTGCAGTTGTATCTCTTTTATATTGTTTACAGACTATTACACACGAGTAAAACATAAAAATAATATTTTTATTCAGTACCCAATCTTCAGTAGTGACTACGAGTTTCCTTACTGTTTGGAACAAAAATTATAGACACTTGATGGTGTGGCCTACAATGGATTGTATGCATCAATCCCATGAAATAAAGAATGGTATTGGACAAGAATTATGAGCAGTGTTGATGGCATTTAGGGCACGACCACGCATGTTGGTTTTGGGATTAACAATAATAACAACAGCTTTGGTCCACGTTGATGGGCTCCTCCTTCACAAGATTAATTAATTGAGGCTCAAAGACTTTAAATCAATTAAGTGGGACAATTTTTGTTCCTGTCGAATGTTGACACATCATATGATTAAGGTAATTGAGGGAGGATTATTGATGCAAACTGGACATGGAGAAACGTCAGAGATTAAAGTCGACTCCTCCGATGATCCGTCCTGTCAGGCCTCAGCTAGCCGAACCAGGATATGATGAACAATATCAGTTACGTTGCAGTCTTGTTAGGTTAACCAAATCCCTTTGGCACATTCACCAACAACAAAACATGCCGGCAAGGGATAATGGAGGGCCAATTTGGAGACCACAGTTCGAATCGGAATCGTGCACTGTACAATCAGAACCGGAATTGAACCGTCCATACGATTTTGGAGAATCGGAACTAATAAAGTTTCGGTTAAGGCTAGGTTTGTGTAATAAAAGAACCGGAACCGACCTCAGTACCTACTTGTTTGTATCTAACTTATACTGATTATATTATAGTTAACTACATCTCTCATTTAATTTGTTTGTGTCTGATCATGATATCAATAATGTCTCCAGCTTGATAATATCAAACTTATGTTGATCAGAGCATAGATTCTGTAATCATGAACCAGAACAGAACAGTTGCCAAGAACTAACCATGCATACAGTTAATCCAATAACGGAGATTGGAACAAAGACTTGCTCTGTACTTGTTAGCTGTTAACGAGGTACAACAACAATAATCAGTAAGAATTGAAGCAAATATTCGAGCGAGTTCTATTACATGTACTCCTAAATCTTATTCCTTCAATATTATTTTTTGATATAGTGAATTTTGATAAGTTATTTTTTTTCATATAAATCCTAATACAAATGTTTATATCAAAATTTTGTGCGTAAGAATACAAGTTAAGAGTATAGGACGAGAGTATACATAATATTTTCCTACTAAGGAGACATGACAAAATGTAGCAGGACCGACCTCCCATAAAAGAATGGCTGTCAACAAGCTAGTCTGATATACTGAACATCCCTGATCTGAGTTGGAATCCACACAACACAAAACCCCCACACCACATAGATGAGAACCCCCCACCATAACCTTTGACAGTGACACTCCTTTTTTTTTTACATAAGGTATCTCTCAACTTAAGAGACTAATCCTAACGCTGAAAAAAAGATAGCTCCATTAGTCTTCTCCTTATACGCTTTGTGTATGAAAGTTTTTTATTTCCTTTAGTCGATCAAGGTCTTCTGATAATCTCAAGTTTTATATAACTCACCTAGTCACCTTGTATATGCCGAAGTAATTTGTGGACAGCTGCTCAAAAATGGTTGAGCGGTGACAAATTAAAGAAACATGTTAGAATGAATTCATGTGCCTCAACAGGAACCATGTGCACGTAGTACAAATATAGGACGTTTGAATTATCCAGATGTGACGCAAGTTTATTATCTGCATGCTCTCCAAATCTATGATTAATGAAGATTAAATTTCTGAAAAATTAATTCTAAAGCATGTGTTTATGGACAATGATTTCTTCAACTCCGCAGAGGATTGGGAGAAGACCAAATCAACACACAGGTTGATCTAAATCCGACGGCCGGCGGCTGACGCGGTGAGGAAGGTTGTAACGGCACGGCGGCATCTCTCATTCCTTCTTCAATTCTCCCTAATCGTTATACCATGGACCAGGGTCCAATGTATACGACGTCGTTTGAAATTTAAATTTTAACGACCATCGTTTGTTGTTCAATTCGAGTTATAGAAGTTTTTTTTTTTAACTGTAAAATATGTGTATATATCTCGTGTTATGTGTTTCTGTACATCATGTACGTTAAGTGTAAGGATTCTGAAAGTGATTAGTAGTTATATAACATAAAATATATTGTGTGTCTTATTTTACGAATTTATGTCTTGTATTATGAAATTATGTGCCTATATGACATAAATTATTTACATAGATCAGATATGAGAATAAGTAAAATAGAAAACATGTGTATGTATCTTGTAGTAAATAGAAAACATGTGTATGTATCTCGTGTTATGCATTTCTTCACAACATGTCATGCAATTCTGTATATTAAGCGTAAGAATTTTGTATAATACAAAACATATTGTGTGTCTTAATTTACGAATTTGTGTCTTGTATTATGAAATTATGTGCCTATAAGACATACATTATTTACATAAATCAGATTTAGGAATAAGTCAAATAAAAAACATGTGTATGTATCTCGTGTTATGCGTTTCTGTACATCATGTTATGCAATTCTGTACATTAAGCGTAAGAATTTTGTACCTAAAATAAATTAAAATTTGTGTTGAAACATGAGAAACGTGAAGTTACAAAGTATGTTAAAGCTTAAATATCAAATGACATCGTTTTGATCCAGGTCCACAATGCTATGGACCCTGGTCCACGATATAAATTGCCTCTTCTCTCAAACGGTTGAATTCTCAACTCCACGGGCCCACTCTGATCCGATAAAGCATTTGAAAGGTTATAAATCACGACGATTCAATAGCTCAACAAATAGGACCAAATATGTGCAAGATCTGACCACTTTGAACATAATCCTCATTGGACATCTCTCATTCCTTGATTTCCTTCTATTAGTCTATAGAGTAGCAAATTATTATGTGAACCCGCATCCACCTTGCAAGATGGATTGGGTCAAAAAATTCACAATTTATATACTGAATGTTCACAATTTGCATACTGAATGTTCACAATTTTTATATACTAAATGTTCACAATTTATATACTGAATGTCAACAATTTGATATACTAAATGTTCACAATTTACATACTAAATATCCACAATTTAAATTGTAAATATTCAGTATATAAATTGGGTATTTTGACACGAATTCACTTTACAAGGTAGATTCGGATCCATGAGATAACTATTACTATAGCAATCGTTATGCTATGGACCCGTGTCCAGCATGCATGCTGGACACAGGTAACAGTGTCGTTAGGCACTGTTATCTTCTTTTCTTTTTTTCTTTTTTAATTTCAGACCACTTTGTTATAGGAGTATATGTTCATAATTTTATTACTATATGTTCATAATGTCAGAGCTTTATGTTCATAATTCCATAACTGTACATTCATACTTCCATAACTGTACATTCATAATTCAATAACTGTAACTTCATAATTTTCGAAGCTCTATGTTCACAATTTTAGAGCTCTATGTTCATAATTTTATCACTATATGTTCATATTGTAAGTTCATAATGTCAGAGCTCTGTGTTCATAATTTCATAACTGTACATTCATAATTTCATAACTGTACATTCATAATTGCATAACTGTACATTCATAATTCTGTAACTGTACATTCATAATTCAATAACTGTAAAATCATAATTTTCAAAGCTCGATGTTCATAATTTTATCATTATATGTTCAGAATTGTAAGTTCATAATGTCATAGCTCTGTGTTCATAATTTTATAACTTACATTCATAATTTCATAACTATACATTCATAATGGCATAAACGAATAACGCCGTTAACGGCGAGACAAAATCAAAAAAAAAAATAATAATAACTGAAATGACGCGTTTTCCCTGAAAATGACGTCGTTTTGGACTCGTGTCCACAATTCCACTGCATAATTTGCGTTACTAGAGTACAGAGTACATACTACACAATCATTATTGTATGGACCATGGTCCACACAAATTGTGTGGACCATATTTTGTCTACTATAAAATAATGTACATTCAGTACAAATATAATGTACATTCAGTACAAAAATAATGTACATTGTGTTCAGAAAATGTACATTATTTTTGTTCCGAGTGTACATTACATTGTATAATGTACATTCAGTACAAAAATAATGTACATTTAGTATATTAAAAATGTACTTTTTGTTATTGTCCACATAACATTGTGTGGACCTTTGCCCATACTACAGAAGCCAACATTATATTGGGCCGATACTGCAGGCCCGCTTCCAGTTTTTCGGACATTGTCCATGAAATAGTTGTGCTCGGCCTGATTCATTTATTATATTCCTCCGGCCCACTTTAGATCTTGACATTTTTCCTCTTTTTTTTCTTTGTTTTTGTTTTTTGTTTTTAAATAATTATGGAGTATATATTTTTTCGGATTCGAGATTCGATCAACGCAACATAGGTGAAATTCAATTAATAACAAATTGTTTAAAAATTAACTTGTTGAATTTTACCCGAGATATTTTTTTAAAAAAAGAATTGGAATATTTGGATAACAATTTTGTGCAGCATACTCGAATAAGAGAGTATTAATAATAATTTAACTAATAAAATTTTAGTACAAGAATATGCTTCACCTACTCAATCACTCTTTTCGAATTTGATACTGTTTTTTGTTGAGATAGCTAACGAAAGACTCCAAGAATATTAGTAGTTGAAGAATCAAATGAAAGTATGTATACTTCTATTTATTATTATTATTTTTTTGTATTTCTATTTGATTGTTCTTAATTTTTAATAGGGAAATAGTATTCTTTTTTACCCTTAAATTGTGAAAAATATCATTTTTGTCCTTTAATTTTTTGCAAATTAATTATTTCCATCCCTCAAATATTTATATTGTGATATTTTGTACCCAACTCTATATAAAAAATCACTTCACAATAATTGATAATAAAGAACTAATAATAATAATAATAATAATAATAATAATAATAATAATAATAAAACTAAAGAAAGAAATATGTCCTTTCAAAAAAGAAAGAAATATGTCCTTTCAAAAGCTAAGCATTTCTATGATATCATTATAGAGTATGATTGTCTTAATTTTTGCACTACGTTTAATTCTTGTTGTTCAGACCTTTCTTATGTTGGGCTAGTTGGTAAGCAATGTCGTAGGGACATTGGGAACGTATCTGTTCGCCATGTCAATAGGTCAGCGAATCAAATTGCTCATGTTCTGGCAAGGGCTACTAATTCTATGTCTGCCTTAGGTTCGTAGTTCTGTGTTCCACCGACCTGTATTTCTTCTTTACTTGATTTTTAATGAATTTCCTTATGTTTTTCTAAAAAAAAAATAAATAAACAAATAAAAATTTTCTCAAGTAAATGGAGAATTTCTCATTAGTATCAAATATAGTCTTAAATTTCATTTAAGAAGTTTGTGTTCATATGAAACATGTATAGTTGTATATAGTACAGAAGGATCAAAGGGACAAGGATTCTTACCTTAATCCAGCAAAATTGGTAGTTTAAAACTTTAAATCAAAGAGGAAAATGGCAAACGAGTGGGGCCCAGACCGTCATTCATTCCGCAGTTCCATCTCGGGATATGCTTTGCTCTATCTGGCCTTCAAAATCCTCGACTGCCTCAACAATTCCAATCTTCTCCATAATTCTTTGATTCTTTTCCCCTTGCTGCCTGCGCAATATGGGTATTGATACGCTGTTCTTTCAAGAATTGGCCTTTACTGTCGGACTAGCTCTCATGATCACTTTCTTGTTCTCCAAGTTCTTCTCCTCTGTTGTTGTCGAAGAAGACAGGAACATGAGCTTCTGTTGCGGGGGTGCGAATCGAAAAGCAGCTTCAAATCGACCAATGAACGGTGGGGAGATGAGAATTCAACATGGCGTAAACAAGTCGGTGCAATTTGGTGATCGTGTAAAGGAAGAGCGTGGGGTATTTGAGAATTCTGGAGTAGAAGATGAGGCAGTAAAAGTAGGGGAAGAGTTGGGAAAAGATCAAGAAAGTATTTTGGGGTGTGATGGAATGAAGCAGAAAGTGTTTGATGAAAGTCCCGTGAGAGAGAATTTTGAAGTGGAAGATGATGAGGCAGTAAAAGTAGCGGAGGAGGAGTTGGGAAAAGATGAAGAAAATCTCTTGGGGTGTGATGAAAGTGGCGTGAGAACAAAGTCTCGCGAAATCGAAGTAGAATTCGTGGATTCTGGGGAAATTGGGATTGAATTTGGTGAGAGGGAAGGAGTGGGAAAGGCACCCAAAAAGATGGAAAATGAGGATAATGATGGGGTGTTTGATGATTGGGAGGATGTAGAAAGAACAGAACTGGAAAAGAGCTTTGATGCTGCAGTGGTGTTTGTGGATTCTAATGCAAATTCTGACCAATTTGACAATGATTTCAAAATGCAGCTTTATGGCCTTCACAAGATTGCCACTGATGGACCTTGCTCCACTGCTCAGCCCATGGCTCTCAAGGTTTCAGCTCGTGCAAAATGGTATCTCTATTCCCAGAACTATCATTAATTCAAGTGATTGCAAACAATATTTTGTTAGCCCAGATCATAATTACTAACCTAGTTTCATTACTTTGATCATAATTGCAAACAAGAGAGCCAAGTTTGCAACTTTATTCACTAATCCAGTTAATAAATATTGCATGTGATGTGCTGGCATGAACCAACATAAATGTCAATAACAGGGTTGTTATCTTGTTGATTGCTTATGATCTCTTTGCTTGAGCTTTTATATGAAACTGAACTGATAAGATGAGATCACAGAATTTACTAGCACGAATTTATAATTCAAAGATTTTGATGTTGGGTGATTGTTCCAGTGGAGGGATGGAGTTGAACAAGGCTCGTAATATGCGTTTAACAACCGTTAATAGATTCTGTTTTTGTGTGTATCTCTTGGTTTGAAGAACTATGGCAACTGGGAATTCATGTGATTAAGCGAATTCTGTTGTTGTAGGACTGCTTGGCATAGCCTAGGGGACATTAGCAGGGAGGAAGCCATGGAACAGTATATTGCTCTTCTGTCAAGTGGCATTACTGATTGGAAGGTAAACAAATCTCTTCCTAAAGAATCATTCTTTACTCGTTACTGCTAAATTTATCCTGCAAATCACGTACACTGCAAGAAACCGTTCTTCGTTCCGACTTCTGAATGTTGAGCAAGCATCATATATGCATAACATAAACCCGCATTTCATGAAACTGAATCCTTTGTTGTATCAACTTCTGTTACTGCAAAAGGGTTTGCATTGTTCTTCTTTTCTGATCTGAAACTGTGTTGGCAACACTGATCAATTTCCTTTTGTTTTTGGTACCCAAAACAAAGAATGAGCTGTGACAGTCATTCATGATGGTGCCACTTGGCGACGAAGGTTGATTCCTCCATAAATCCAAAGCTTTCGCCGTTTGTAAACGCCTGCATCAGCCATCCTTTCCTCTGGTTATTTTAGGGTTTAAAGCTCAGACATGGCAGACATGTCTAATGTATATATATATATGGCAGTATATTATGTTATCTATGAATAATCATTTATCAACATGAAGTTGGTGAGCTATCTGTTTGCTAAGAGTATGAATTATATCAATGAAGCTCCTGATGAAGGATTAGTATTTCTTAAGGGCACAATCCTAGTTTTTTGCATTACCCTTTTTATTGCGACAATTACAAATTTACAATCAGTTAATAAATATATAAATCTCTAAAGCATAAATAACAATTATCAATAACATTAATGGTTAATACTTAATAGATACACTTGTTAAAAGTAAAAGCAAGTCCAACAGTTGAGTTTTACAACTCCAGCAAAGAAAGAGAAGAATACAGAAGTATAGAGTGAATATTGCTTCTGGTCAACTTACATAGCGAGAATGAATAATATAAAAGAATAACAAGACAAGACATTTTACGTGGAAATGTGAAAGAGAAAAAATCACTGAGTTTTTTTAAATTGAGTTAGACTGAAATTCACCATTATTATTTAATGGAACATATTTGATCTACTATTTTATTTTTTTTTGAAATATTCAAAATAGACAACTAGGAGGTGAGTGTTGTGGTCATGAAACCACTAAGAGTAAGACCTTATGAGGTCGGGAGGCTCCGGTTAGAGTGATGTAGGTTAGAAGAAACAATCCTCCCCCCCCCCCTCCCTCCCACCCACCCACCACACATATAGGTAGAGTGCTCTATTTATTTATAGTGATTGAGTGGCGATGGGACATAATGATGGTTAGTACTTAGGTGGACAAAATGACACTCCTTGATTGGGCACTAAAGTCGATCATGACATGTGTAACTTGTTGAGGTGATGGCTAATGAGGTGACAACAGCGTTGACCGAATTAGCAATGATGACTTACTGATACTGATATGACAATCAGTAAATCTATGGTTATAGAGGTTGGCAAGTAGTCATGTAGACTCTTTGGGACCGAGAAGTATATTTGAGAACCCTCGAGACCGATAAGTGCACTTGTGAGTTGTGAACCCCTGGGACGGAAAAGTGCACTTGTGAACCCCTAAGACCATGATGAGTTGTTTGGTAGACATGAATTGCATTTCAATTCAACCACAATTCTTTGATCACTCCCATTACAATGTTTGGTTGGAGGGAATTGCAATTCATGGATACTCCTATGAATTGCAATTCAATGGTTGTGGGAAAGGAAAAAATGGATGAAATGACACTGCTAACCTTGGTTATTATTATTATTATTATTATTATTATTATTATTATTATTATTATTATTATTATTACATAAAGACATTTTAGTCTTTATACCACTTATTTCATTCTCAATCCCAATAATTATATTCCTCCTTACCAAGTAATTTAAATTTCTACTTTATTTCCACATTATTATTTTTCCCACCGAATTACAATTTATTTCCCCTCTAATTTCTTTATTCTAACCAAACACTTTGTGAAGTACACTTGTGAGCTCTTGAAACCGGGAAATATACTTGTAAACCTTCACAAGACCAGAAAGTGTACTTGTAAGTCATATAGAGCAAGTATGATTGTCCTATAACTCAATCAATATTTTTATTTTATTTTTATTAATTATTTTTTATTTGTTTCACTCTTGGAACACATATTTGTCAATCAAATTTTGTGTAAATTCAACAAATAATTGTGTATTCACTTTCTTTTTAGATAACAAAGAAATTGAGGGTGTACACGGACAAATGACAAATCTAAACCGCACCTAGATATGGATAATATCTCAATCGTTATACCCTACACTACGGCGCATATAGTATTGTGCGTTCCGCACTTCCCAAAATGTGGTAGGGAATTAATGTGATTATGTGTATTTGTTTATATAATTATGTGTATTTTTTTTATACAGTTATGTGAAACGACGTCGTTTTGCATTAAGATGCACAATGCAATGCGTTTCCTAGTGCACGATATAAATTGTCATAATATCTTTATATATATATATATTCTTTGAATTAAAAAATTTGTAGAATAATGAAATCTACAAAACGCCCAATTAACGATTTGGCGGTTAATGCCCGGAGGGCAGCGGCATTCCCAGGTGTCGGGGAGCTCCATTGATTTTGATTGTCGTCTGAATCAAAACGCACGCTCGGGGAAACAACACTGGATCTAGGGTTTTCAGGTCTCTTATAATAAGATCTTCCCCTTTTGTATTCAGTTTTCACATTTGATTCCCGCCAGAGCAAATGGGAGTGGTGATTGAGACCGTTGTGTGGGAGCCCAACCCTGCACTCTACATCTTCCTCTTCGCATCATCTTTACTGTCAATTTTATGTTTCCCCGTCAACTCTAACCCCAGAACTTCCAATGTCCTCGACCATTCAATCTCGCCTTCCCTCTCTCGCTTCCGAAGAAACTTCATTTTCTTATTTTCCATCTCTTCAGGTACAATATACACTGTGCTTACTGATTCGTGTAAATTAGTTTTTGATGAAATGTGTGTGTTTTACTAATTGCTACTAAGAAAAGCGGGGGAAAAAGTCTTTTTTTTTTTTTTTTTTTTTTTTTTTTTTTTTTTTTTCCGTTCATAAAAATGATTTCTTGATCTTTTAAATTTTTTATTTGCAGTGATGGAGGGCTTGTGGGCTGTGTTTGGGGAGTATGAATTGACATATTATGGAGTTAGCAAGGACCAGATGCTACTATCGCTGTGTATTGGATGTGTGGCTGTTCTCTTTGTTGGCTCCTTTTTGGGGATACTGTCAGATTTGATGTAATGGAACTCAGCTAATTCTCTTTTTAAGTTTCCAATTTAGTTCTTGAAGTTCACAGAGTACCCGTTTCTATAGGCAAAATGCAGTTGCTGTTTTTTTAACACTAGATGTTCTGTTGTGGTTTTTTTGCTTGTTTTTGCAGTGGTCAAAAGAAAGTGTGTTTGTTATTTTTCATGCTGCACCTCTTTGTTGCCATTTGGAAGAGGGTTAATGCAAATCCTAGTGTTTGGATTACCAGTATCTGCCTCTCTCTTGCCTCTTCAATTTTCTTCTTCAATTTTGAGACATGGATGGTAGTTGAGCATGAAAAGGTTTGTGACTTTGCATTTGTCAATTCTTGTATATTCTGCAAATGCAATGTTTATCTTTTAGAGTTTTTATTTTTTCATAACGTTATGATTTCACAAATTGCTTGATTTAAACTAATCTTGTTTTCTTGCAGCAAGGGCTGAGGCAGGATATGTTAAATGAAATGTTTTGGTTAATGTCCTTGGTTGAATCTGCATCGTTCATTGGTAGCCAAGTGCTTGGGAACTGGCTCATTGCTGGTAATGCAGAGTCAATTACACATTCTCTTCCCGTTGCAGCTGCAATACTGGCAATTGTTGCTTTAATATATGCTAGTCGAGGATGGAAAGAATCAACACAAACTTCTGAATATAAAAATTATCAAATCAAATTCCATACACTCTTCGCTGGTATCAGATGCCTATTTCTTTCCTTTTATCCCTCTTCTCTTGAAATGGTCTGAGTATTAATATGTATAAAGAAGCACCTGCCATATCTTATCATGAACTGTTTATGCTTTGCTAGATAGAAGAATATGGCTGCTTACATGGGTGCAAGCTTGTGTTCATTTCTCAAGTGCTGTATTTTGGATTCTCTGGGCTCCAACTATGGTGGTATGATTTTAATGGAGCAGTTTCATTTCATTCTCTGTTATTTGTCTGAGTTTATTGACGAATTTCATCATTCCATATTAATGTTCACTTAAATGATTTGCATGAGACATGCATTTGATCAAAATGTAACCACATGAATTTGACTGTGTTTATGTGTTGTATTTTGATGTTTTCTGGTCACTGACATCCTCCTTTCAAACATACAGATGATTGTAGAAGTTTGAGATGATAGGCTTTCTTTTCTCTTGATTTTGGATTTTTTTTGCGTTTTGCATTTTGCATTTTGCTCTTTGTTTCTTGACTTGCTATTTTGAATATTTTGTTGTGCTTATAGGCTGATGGGAGAGAGATTTTGTTAGGTCTGCTATACCCTTGTTTCCTTGGTGCGAGAATGCTAGGCAGCACTGCATTTCCATGGTTCAATGGGCCATTATCACTTCGAACTGAGGAATACTTAGTATACATTTTTATTGTTATGGGCTCTGTTCTATCCATTGTAGCTTTTGACTACCAGGTATCTTTACCATTTCCCTTTTTTCCCCCATGATCTTAAGATACCAGGCTTGTCGTTCATACTTGTGATTTAATTCCAGGAAATTGAAGCTCTTTTGATACTATTCTGCGTATTCCATGCCTGTGTAGGACTGGTTTTGCCATCACTTGCCAGATTAAGAACCATGTAAATAATGTTGCTGAGATTTTTTTGTAATTTTTTGGTTTGTCCGATTTCTTTGATCTTACAACTCTTATGCTTCAATTCATTTTGCAGGTTTGTACCAAATGAACTCCGTGCAGGAATGATGAGCTTATCTCTGTTTCCATCAAATGCTGCACTCTTGTTCTTTCTGGTGCAGGTATGTATTATTTAAGTGAAAATTATCCAATTGCAAAGTACTGCTGACTCTAATAAGTTCTGAACTGGATCTATGTTATGTTTATTCCCGAGCACTATTCAAATGTGACAATTTGCAGCGAAGTTATAGCCATAACCTTGGAAATTCAACCATTATAGCGGCGGGTGCTCTTGGACTTTTCACTGCAGCCGGTTGCATGTATATGTTAAAGCGGTTGGGGAAGCAACTTCATCGAGACTGGCATAAGTCATGATTCTGCCTTTGGATATTATCGTTCATCCAAGCAGGTGGATTGTTAATAATCCACAATTCGGAGACGAAATTTTTTCATTCTGAAACCTGTGAAGCATTAGATTCCTTTGTGAATTGTGGATCTCAGAGGAATCATGCAAATGTTCATTGTGGGCACTGGTCTACTTAAAAAGTTTGAAGAGGAGATGAATACTTCTTACAGCCAGAATTCATACAGATAAAGCTACCTTTGCTGTAATTATAGTTAGTAGGTCTTGCACAGGTCAAAAGAAGTATTAAACAGAAGAAGTTATGTATTTACTATTTACCACTGATACTATTATTTTGTTCATTGGAATGAGGATGCATTTTTGTGAGAAAATTGATTTACTGGTAACATAGTCAATTTATCAGTTAATTTTGGCTTATTTAACCACTATTTGTTGTTTGACTTAGTTAAATAATCAATGTGAATGTTTAATTAATTAATTTTTTGTAACAATTTATTGTTTCAAAATGTTAAAATTCAAAAAGTTGCTCAAAGTAACTTTTTCGATAAACTTTTTGAGAAAATCATTTTGCATGTAATCAGCTAACAGTTAATTTATCGGAACACTTTTCTACAATCAATCAGCTAATATGGTTATCAACTAGTTAACCTCATTAACCCAATCAACTAACAACTATTTACCAAATATCCCTGTATCTATCTACATAACCTTTAGTGGGCAGTCATGTTTGATGAAATTTAGGGTAAAAGAAGCTTAGAGCAACAAAAACATAATAATGTAAAAAAAAAAAAAAAAAAAAAAAATTGAACTATTTCCTCATTATGATACAGGGAATATCTTTCACAAATGGTGACAAAAAAGAACTAAATAATATATTCACTAGGCAACATTGTTATTGGCAGAATTGTGGGGGGGGGGGGGGGGGGGTGGCATTTAGTCATCTTGTTCTTGATCCCTGATCCACTTTGTTGCCACCCATTTTTGTCCTTTGATCACTGGACAGCTCCCATGAAGCGAGGTCTGCAAATCATGAAATCACAACTCAACTCAACACATTTGCTGCTCATTCTCCCTTATGACACAAAAATCGCTTTCCAACAATGTATAATCCATAAGTTCAATACATATTATATGATGCATGCATATTCACAGCTAGCTGACATGGTAGGCCACTTCAAGAAATTAGCAAGAAGCTAGAGTGTCAAAAAAGAAGGATTAACAAAACTAAGAACTCACTGGATCGATTGTGCCATTTAGAAGAAGCGAGTAGAATAGAAGTCCATCCCCTTTGCGGGGCTTTACTTTTAAACCTTCACACCTGCGGAAGTCATAATTACCATCCATGTTCTGTCCATACTGCATATAAACAGAGTTACCACTTTTCAAGGATGAGAGGAAGGAAAGTTGATCATCACTATAAGAGCGGCAAAAATATTATTGATATTACCTCAAAAGGGAACATGGTTTCCCCACCTTCTTCAACATCTGAAAGGTATAACAAGAATGAAGCAACCTGAAAAGGTTCAATAAAATTGAGTCCACAAATGTCAAATAATTATAAAAAGGCATTTCAATAGCTACCCCGATTTTCCCCAGATTATTAAAAAAAGTTGTAACCGGTGGGCCTCTATATTCATTCTTTTGGCCATCATCATTTATAGGGCTTGGCCATGACTACAGTTTTTCTCTTGTACTAATTTATTTATTTTAATAATTTGGAGAAAATAAAGTGTACTGAAATGTCTCTTTTTTAACCTCCTCTCCATTTGATTTTAACTAGAACCTGAATAATTGGACCAAATGTGGTAAATCTTTCACAGTGAGGGAAGAGATATGGCAAAATTGAAAGTCAGGCACGCAAATTGAGTGTACTACCACAGTAGGGTGACCAAATGTGAAAGATGCTAATTCTTTTTACAAACTAACAGCAGTGTGTATAGCTTTGGTCAATTTCATAGATATAGTTGCAAAGAACATCAGAGTGAATGTAGAATATCTAGTTGTGCATACCCTTTGGCTCTTCTGTGGGCCATATTCAGCGGGATTGAATGCGTCATAATGAGAATGATAGCTTTGGCCAATTTCATAGCGCAAAACATTAAATGCCTGAAACAAAGTAACATTTCTCAAATTACTCAAACTATTATAGATATTTACCATTGACCTGAAGGCAAAGGTCAATTGGTTTAAGATGAACTACGATATACAATGAAGTATGATGTCAACAAGCAAATGCACACATCATCTAAGGAAAACAGATACCCCCAGCATGCATATATTGGACTTCTTATCCATTAGTCATAACTCATAACATTGAAATTAAATTTTCTGGCAAATTTCTTCAAACATATGCACTCTGGTCATGTGAGTTAAACAATTCTGTGAAAAAAGGATATTATTGTTTCTATTTTTAAAAGACAACCAAATATAGAGCTCATCTTGTGTTGGGACCAATATACTATGTATGGAGTATCAAATATGTAACCATGCAACTAAAATGCGTACCCAGTACATACAGGATAACAGAAAGAGGAAAAGAGTGACAACAGTACAACACAAGTAAACAGGTAAAACAATTAGATACAGAAGGAAAATAAAATTGCAATTACAGAGGCAATACTAGGCATTGCTGTTCTTTACATATCTTTGTTAACTTTTTACCTCTCCATGGGACCTGGGAATCATTGTCACCTTAGCAATTTTCTCCTCAATGAGATCCAAAGTTCCTGTTTTGTCTTCTGATGCACTTATAAATGTGCCAGAACTGAGAGAAAAGGAATGTATTATGCAAAAATATAGATCTTTGAGTCATCAGTCAAAATCAAAGATGCCAACAGGAGCAGTCACTTCAGTCTTTCTTGAAAGCGAAAAAGGACTTGCCAAAATTTGTATACTCTTTTTGGATCATAATCATCGAGTTTTTGTTATAGATAATTTTTATTTTAAATATTTTTTCGTGGGAATATAATGGATTTTAATACAAGATCTCTAGCCTGTCAAGAAGAACTCTGTCCAGATGAGCTATCCCTTTGATCCAATGAACATAAGTTACCTTGTTCTTATTCCCTTTGTGTTTTCTGCCGTTTCTCCTTTACGAAGAGCTAAAGATGAAGGTTTGAGTTGTTTTTTTGCCATTTTGACAATGCTTTCACATTGCTCTGCAGTTGCAAAATTTGGAAAGTATAATGCACGGGGATACCAGCTTAAAACCTACCAAAGAAAGAAAATGAGAAACGTGGAAAAACAGCAATGTCAAGGAAGAAATGTAATCAAATAAGCAACAATGAAGAAAAACAGGCATCGTGACTAGCTATCCATTGCTCAATGAGGAAAAACAGGCATCCTGGACTCCTGATCTTAACCAAAAATGAAAAAGGAAAACAAATTTTAATTTCACCATGGATATCATCTATGTAATCATTAGATAGAATCTCGTGTTTTCCTTACAAACAGTCTCTAATCAAAATCAAAGCATTATTGTCACTAAGTTGAATTGCGGTTACACTATGGACAATATTAATTTGAGTTTACAATTCACAGAAACAAAATTAGATTCTCTGAGTGGTTAAGAAAAGACAAAAACTTTTTCTCCTCGTCTGATACTCTTGTGGGCAAAACACAGTTGAAGAGACAATGAGGACAGCTCAACCATAAAAAAAACATCATTAACTAAAAGAAAATATTTGAAGGTATACTAATAAATAAAAGGCGAAAAACAGAAAATGAATCCCAAATTAGTAGAAAAAGTGCAGAAAAGGCGCCGAATTGAACATCAAAAGCACACCTGAAAGGGGATGAGAGACATTGAATCCTCTCCCGTCTCGCCGTGCGGCAGCGGATCAAAATCTCGCCACGTATCCACCGACTCCAGCATCCTAGACCTCGCCCGCATAAATCCTTCATCCTTTACAATAACAAAACAAAATCCATACATTTTAACAAACACAATACGTACACAAGGCAACGAGCGAATGGAATAGAACACGGACCGACCTGCTGAGAGAAGAGGGAGGAGCCGAAGAAACCGGCGAGGAAGAAGCAGAGGCATAAGAGAAAAACGAACGGCAACCCTAGGGTCCTCCATCCACCTCCGACCAATTTGCCTCTGTTGCTCGTCTTCATCAATGAATCTTCCCCTCTGAACTCAACGCCAGCAATTAACGAATTCCGAGTTTGGTTATGAAATTATGGATCTGTAATAAGCAATGAGCTATGAAGAAGAAGGGAGCGGAGAGTGTAAAGACGACAGGAAGAGTCATCATTCATTTGTTCGGTATTTCACTCTCGATATGTACGACTTTTGACTTTCCTACGCGGCGGGAATTCTTTCCCATCCTCTCTCTAATTCCGGTATTACTCACTACTTTGTCCGTAATTGTTAAGGTGTAAAAAGTATATTAAGATGATTCAAGTACATAACAATCATGTACCAAAGTAGGAGAATATACATTCAAAGAATGCAACTTCTAGTACAAGGCCCTTTAAGGATATAGTACTAATGGATCACGTACCAGACTCAGACGATCAATTTTGGAGCGGTTAGACGGCAAGCTTGAGAGAAAGCGCGCACGGTAATTAGACTCTCAAAGTTGTTAAGTAATTGTTAAGTGCGTATTAAAAGGAGCGACAGGATGATAATGTAATAATGCCTTAAATTTAGAAAGATTTCTTTCTTTAATAAAATATTTAAAAGGAGTGGCAGGAGCATGATATAATAATACCTTAAATTTAGAGAGATTTCTTTCTTTAATAGAATAGTTTTATTTTTTTTAAATTAAAATGTAATTTTATTTTTAGCAGGTTGTTAGCGGTAAATTCGAGTAATGAATGATTAATTAGGATTTGGTGACTTATTTAAGGAAATTCGTTTTCTTTTTTAGTAAACTACCTTATGTATAAATACCATGAGAAATGGAGAAAAAGTGGATCCAAATTTTCTTGAGCTTAAGACAATTGAGTGTTCTTTGCTAATTTTTTCAATTTCTTTGTATTTTCACATTATTTAAATGGTTGTGTTAACCAACCAGCGGCGACCACTCATAGGTCGTAAAACCAACGAGTTCTGACACCAGGTAAGAGTATCCACATTAGTTGGGGAGATTTGGGAGATAATGTAAGAGTGATTAGGAAAGAGAATGTGGGAGGGGAGAGAAAAAAAAAAATAACAAAACAAAATTTGAAAAAAAAAATAACAAAAATCTGTCGCGTCAGGCGCGCTGACGCGAATGCACGCGCCCGTGTAAACAATGGCTGTGCGCAAACGCGCACAGCCAGTTTTTTTTTTATTTTTTTTTCTGACATTAACCCTTAACTTGCAGGATAAATATCTCCCCAAATAACCCCACCCCATATTTATTATTATCCCCACCCAAGATAATTCATCTGACATTATCTCCCTAATATCCACTGACGTGGATGCTCTAAGGGTGATTGCAGCACTGGACCAATATACTGTGGTACTGTAATAATTTCGTACAAGTAATAAATATAAAATCATTTCACATTTATTTTTATTTTTTTTGAAAATTAATTACTAATTTCACATTTATTAATTATTTATTTATAAATTAGTCAATAATCTTAAATTTAGAACAACTGTCGTTTACCCAAAGTCGTCAGAAACTACTGATTAGACATCGTGTTGGACGGTGCAGAAGTAATATACGGAGTATGTCTTTTGGAATTGACATCACAAATTCACAATTCAGGGAGTAGTAGATACGCTTTGGCCAGTTGGCCACCCGTGACCCCTTCTTGCTTTATGCCTTTATGCTTATCTAATGTCAGATATTATTATTATTATTATTATTATTATTTGCCACTGACCATGGTGATGTTCTGCTTTTGTACCAATTAAGTCTAATGGCACCAATGCTGAACTCCCATATGACAACGGAGGTAATATTGATTCTTTGTTCAGTAAGTCGAGAAAGTAATTATGAACATATGCTACATTATAATAAAATCAGTAGTATTCAAAATAAAATTACTAATTTGTTTAGATTTGATATCTAATTATTACGGAGTCAAATTGTGAAGTGTTTTTTGTTCTAATATTACTATGGTGTAATTGATTAACCAAATTCGCCTACGGACATTGTAGTTTAATAGCACTAATTTGTAACTCCAGATATGAAATTACACAGTACAGGTTTCATCTCCAGCTTCGTACAAATAAAAGTCGCTATGTTTGAAAAGAAAATAAAAAAGACCATAATTAGTTTTTTTTTAAGGCTGGCTCCTCTCTGAGTTCTGGACTGACAGAATAATTACTCGAGGTTCAGGAACAGAGGATGACGAGTTGACGACCCCACCAGGCCACCAACCCACATAATAAGACAAAGCAAACGGAGTTGTTGGACTGCACATCCAGGCTCCAACAAATCAGTACCCAATTCCTGCATTCTCAACCTTTTTTTTTTCTTGCATTCTCAACCTAAATTCAGTTTTTCACTAATATTTTCTCACATTGTGAATGCAAGCCAGGGAAATTTTGCCTGCATATAATTTTCACATGTAATTTAGAGACCAATAAGTAGCTGATCCAAGTCTCTGTGCAAACACACTCGTACTTCCATGTAATTTCCAATACTCGCATGTAATTTCCAATACTCGCACTTCGTGAGTATCCGTGATTTAGATTAACAGAACATATACTGCACAGGCTTAGGACTTACAGAGTATAAGCTGCTTTGCCTTGACATAAAATAACACAAAGGTAGCTTCTTGGGCGACACCAAAAATTTCCCATTCTGAATTTCAATCTTCCTTGGTACGAGAACTCTAAATTCCTTTTCACCGGTGGCACCAACTACTTCTCATTTAACAAGGGTTTGTCATGAACAAATGGTTTGCAGCACAGAATGAAATACCATTCTTAGATGCAGACTAACAGTATTAAGCATGAATCGTGATAGCAGCAGGGCACTTCTTTCATGATATCATTACCAGTGGTGCTTCATCGTTCCATTATTCCACATATCAACTAGGTACTCTGGGACTTCTAATCCAAATTCTAGTCCATTATCTTTGTGGTGCACTTCAGGTCGAGGTGCACAGATAAGAAGACTGGGGAGTGGAAACAAGGCAGCACAGTGACCACTGTAACCATATACATGGAAAAAATCACTCCTAGCCTCTTCATACGAGTTATTGTTAATTTTCACCTCATTGAATTCCAGGAGTAATCTTCATTAGTCTCCAGTGCAGGTCATGGGTGAAGGAGTCTCTACATCATATCCAATTTTCTTTTTGTTGGAGGACACCAAAACCTCAGTCTCTTATCACTACCTGACCTAAGCAATGATCAGCCATACTGCCAGGAATCATTTATATAATATATAAACCATAACTCACATCCCTGACACAAGAGTCTTACACCAACTTAGAATTCTATGCATTTTATCTTCAACAATATCCTTCATTCTTCGTTTCTGTAGTCTTGCATCTTCAATATCTAGAGTTCTATAGGCAAGTGCAAGCAAATACATTGCTGGATGAAGTCTCCTGCACATAGAATCATAAATCACAAAATGTACATGTAATTGCCAAACCTACAGCATAAAGTCATAAATATAATATGATAACTTTATAGGCCAAGCATCCTATACAGGCAATAAAAGGTGAACCCTCAAACCTACAATATAAACATTGTCATTTGCTGGAATCATGGTCAATTGCACAGATTCATAAACAAATAACTCATTTTTGTTTGTCATGCATAACATAGATGAAAATCAATAATAGATGAGTAAGATGACAGAAATGTTGTGTCAGCACTCAGCAGCCTACTTTTAAATGGATAAAAAATGGTACAAGGAAAAAAGGGGGGGATTTAACATTATTATTTTGTAGATTTTCAGCATATTATCAACACTCTGAAATAGTTAATAGTCACTGCCATCATATGTGAGTCAAGGATTATTCAAGACTTACTTGTCAAAATGATCATTTGCATCTAAACCATCCCAATACCTCTGGGATGGGACATTCCGGCTTTTTTTATCGCGACCAAATGTCTCCACATACCAACCTCCAATATCGTGCATGCCACAGCGTGGCTCAAACAGCCAAAACCTGTTCAAGAAAAAGTTGCAGTTGTAACATCTATAAGTAAACTTCAAAGTGAAAAGAAGTGTGCTGTAAATACTTGCATAAAGTTTCATAAAAGCAATTTATTGCTTGATTACATACATATAAATTATCAACTCTAGAAATGGAATATTTCCTAAATCCTGGTTTTTATATTGTGAATTCAATAGCAAAGCTCCCAACAGAGTAGTAGCCACTTTGCCCAGTTTTTGTTGAAATGATATCCTCTCATATAAGGTAATTCATTGAACTACTGAGTACTGACCAGCATTATTAACACAATGGAAAAAGAATGTTATTATGTGAACCTTGAAACTAAATCCATATTAACACTGCAATTCGTGATTCTGAAGATTTTCATTAATTACAAACATAGCCCACATAGAGAAGGGAAAAAGAGACAAAATGAAGTAGTTAATGGACTTTTGCAAGAACAAAATAAGCATGTACTACAACAATAAGTAAAAGTCTCTCTTGTTATGTGCTTTTCCATAATGTGTTAATGACGTGAAGTGAAGAGATTAAAAACCTCTCTTTATTATGGAAGACATTTAAAGTTTAAACCCTTTTGTGTTCCAAAATAAGATGCAAAAGGGGGCAACTAATCAATAAACTGGGTATCCTGAAAAGACAACTATCATTTTAGCTTTTTGTTCTATCTACATAAGAATATGAACAATTTCTGATAAGAAAATTTCTCTACTAAATGAACTTTTTTTTACAGAGTATTATTTTCCAAACACAAAACTTCACCAAAAATTTGAGTCACTATTTAGAAAGATATGTAAACAAATCGGTGGATACTATATAGTCAGTTACGAATTAGAAGGAAAACTGTGTAGTCTTACTTGCTGGGAGGCAAGCGAGCCCTACTGCATCTGCATTCACAAACAGAGACTTCATCTCCTACTTGGTACCAGTGCATGTGTTTCACCTGAAATAGAGTTCCACAGATCCAAAGTGTCAGAGAAGGAAGCATTTATGAATGAAAAGCCACAAGAATGCTATAGTCTGTAGCTACAAATCAAAGAAAATGAGAACTCATAATTAAGCGTACCAACAATGTCCGATGCTTCATAATCACGTGGGTATTCACACCATTATGATCATAGACATCACAGGATCCTTCCTCAGGGCTGGTCCCCATTCCATGTATTGTTCCTAGCAGAATCCTAGATCCAACTGGAACATATACACAGTCACTTTTATACGTTGCATCTTCATGGTTAGTAAGGTAAATATGTATGAGATCCTCAGCATTCTTGTCTTGTGCCAGATTAGAATTACTCTTAGGTCGAACCCTACTGGCTATTGCAACAACCTTCCCAGATACATGTAATTCTAAATCCTTATATGCATCTCGTTCAAAATAATTAATACTTTTAGATTGCTTTTGACACGACCCATTTACAGTTGCATTTGAATTCATTTCTGTGCTGACATTGTTAATAGAAAAGCACAGATCAGATTCAAAAGATGTTAGTTTTTCAGTGTAGGTATGTGACAGTTCAGGATTCCTGTTGGCAACACGTACCATCCCAAAAAGGTCACGCCCCGAGACCAAATGCAGAATATCTGGTGTGACAGATATGGACCTCTCCTCAGCTTCAAAACATTCGGGAAGCAGATCCATTGATTCAATTTCAGGGCCATAAAATGCTGCATGTATAGCTGAGTAAAAATCCCTTTCCAATACATCAAAATAGCCGGAACCAACCACCACCCTTTTCTCTGACACTATATCATTTATGGTATATCTATACCACTTCAACCATTCAACAACTTCCATTTCTCTTTCCATGAGTCTATGAGATTCGTACTTGTACATAATTGAACCTTGCCTAGCCTGCTTCTGGACAAGTGCTCTTCGAGAGAAGAGATACTGGTCATAATGTGCCCTTCTCTCAGAATCAGATAATATCTGCACTCCATTTGATAATCACATCAATATCCCATGCCTTCAGCATATACAGATTTTATGATCTGTCTGTTATGCATGTCAAATATCCTTTAAAAAGTGAATGATTGGAACAGTAAGACAATGATGCAGTGATGCAATACTCTCCTACATTCAACAAGCGCAATAGTTCTATATTCACGGAAGTTTGTAATTTCATTTTAAAATTGCAGTGTTCAACTGTGGTCAGATTAACAGAAACGACTGAGAAACTATCTGTGTTCAAAATCCGTTTAATTCCCGCATAGCTCAAACTTAGGATCTACCACACCTTACAATATATCATCATCAATCAGTCGAAGAGAATAGCAATTCAATAACCAGTTCAATGTATTCGAGAGCCGAAAGGTACAAAAAGGTCACCTTACCTCATAAGCGGCGAGGATTTCAATGAATTGTTTGGAAGCCGAGGAGTCGGTTTGGGAGTGAGCGAGATCAGGATGAGTCTCCTTAGCCAATTTACGGAACGAAGCTTTGATTTCTGAGAATGAGCTGGTCTTCGAGACGCCTAAGAGCTCGTAGGCGCTATGTCCGATAAACTCCGACGGAGTCGACTGGGCGTTTGCACTGAGCCGCCGGTTTCCATTACAACTGGGACAAAAGACACAAAATAAACCCGGCAGGCGATCCGTATGAGCTGGAACTGAAAAAATAGGACGGAAATAACGATTGAGACGGTGGAGTGCGGTGTATCCGGCAAAGAACGCCATGTCTAGACGTCTAGTGATGTCGATGAGTCTCAGAAATAAACGGCTTATCCGATACTGACTCTGTTTTCCTACTGTAACTAGTTTCTCCCACGCCAAAACAAGGAGTTTTTTTTGCACTTTTAGTCCCACGACTATAGTGGCACTGGTAGAATTGATCCACTATTTTTGAACCTTGCAATTTTAATCCACGACTATTAATTTTTTTGCAAAAATGGTCCTTCCGCCACTTTTCCGTCAAAATTTCACCGGAAAAAAAAAATCTCCATTTTTAGTCGGGTTAAAATTGACATTTTACTTATCTCAAAAATTTTTTTTTAAAAAAAATTGATATTTGACTACATACAATATTACTGGGCTACATACTACTACCCCAGGCGGCGGAGTTCCTAGAGCAGGCAGGGTCGTCAGTAAGCGGTGGAGCGGCCGTGGCGATCCCCGGGCTAGTTGGGTTATCCGGCAGCAGCATTGGAGTGGTACATGTACTCCGCTGCCTGAGGCAGTAGTATGTAGCCCAGTAATATTGTATGTAGTCAAATATCAATTTTTTTCTTTTAATTTTTTGAGATAAGTAAAATGTCAATTTTAACCCGACTAAAAATAGAGAATTTTTTTTTTCAGGTGAAATTTTGACAGAAAAGTGGCCGGAAGGACCATTTTTGCAAAAAAAATCAATAGTCGTGTACTAAAATTGCAAGGTTCAAAAGTCGTGGATTAATTCTGCCAGTGCCACTATAGTCGTGAGACTAAAAGTGCAAAAAACTCCCAAAACAAGTAATATGCTATTTGGTTAGAAGAAGGAAGTAATTTGGTGAAAAAAAAGAAAAGAATAAGATAGAAATAAAGTATGAATTTAAATTACATTGTTTGGTAGGGATGAATAGAATTATTAAGAATGAGAAAAGAAGAAGTGATATAAAGACTAAAATGTCATTGTATAATAATAATGTTAATAATAATCAATGGTAAAAAAGTTATTTTTCTTCCTTTTTCTTTCATTTTTCTACTGAATTGCAATTCATATGGGGGATGGTATGAATTACAATTCAACAAAATGAGGAATTGCAATTCCTTCCAACCAAACACGGTAATTCTGGTGGCCAAATAATAAAGTTGTAATTGAATTGTAACGAAATCAAACGAAACACCCTATAAATCTAGAATGTCCAAGTAATCTTTTAATCAATTTTTGTTATTTCTATTAATTTAGGAAACTCGTGGTTTACCACTTAAACTAGTTTAACGGACTTTTTTTTTTTTAAAGAAATAAATAATAATTGCACATAACTAAATATACGGAACATTTCTATTGAGTATGGACAATCCTAGTCAGGTTTGTTAGAAACTTAGATTGATACGGAGTATAAGATTTTAAGTTTGATTTCTAGTGAAAGTTACCATTAGTTTTCTTCTTCTTTTTTTGGTTGCCCAAAGGTATCCCTCCAACTGATAGCCAGAAGACTAATCCCCCGTCCTTATTGTCAGCACACTAAGTGATCATTAGTCTTCTTGATTTAGCTAGTTTATTTCCTTGTAACCGTTTCCTAGTTAGGGTCACAAAATGAACTTCATCCAAAGTAGCGATAGCAAGTAGAATTCTCAAAGGGTGCAACATGATATGGCTAAGTGCTTATTCAAAGATGTCAATAAGAGCAACGATAGGTGACTGCTGATTTTTATAATAGCGATGTGGAAGAAACTAATGGTTAGTTGGTAGATGAAATCTAAATGTACTATGATTTTCAACACATTTCTCCATGTGAGGCTACTTGGCGGATATTTACATTTGATATACAATTTAGGAATCATTCGGTTGAGCGTTTGAGGTTCATCTTCCTAATGAGCAATCTGTTATCTTTGATGATGATAACGTTGTCCACAGGTGCTAATACATCTTGAGAATCAAGCCATTTTGGCACCCACATTAGATAGTGTGGATTTTGTAAATGAATACATGACTAGTATGAACGATGTGTCGTCTAAGATGTACTTGAGTTGTGATTCTGTGTGCAAGTCGGATACAAATGCTGATATGTTATCTGAAGTACACACTCTTGAATTTTTAAACAATTTGAGGTGTTTATGTCTACCAAACTATTTGTTGACATTGAAGGTTGGCTCTCCAGTTATGCATTTTAGGAACATAGACCACTCATTGTGGCTTTGTAATGGAGCAATATTGGTTATCTCAAAATTGGGAAACCATGTCTTTGAAGCGCAGATTATGAACGGAAGCAATGCAGGGTGAATATATTGATCCCCACGGATGGCATTGACTCCGTCAGGCCTAAGGTTTTCATTTAGATTTCAAAAAAAAAAAAAAAAAAAAAAAAAAAAAACAATTTCCTATTCTGTTGTTATACGCTCTGACAATAAATAAAAGTCAATGACAAACTTTAGCTTATACTGATTTGTTATTAAGAAAGTCAGTTTTTAACCATGGGCAATTGTATGTAGCAGTTTCAAAGGTTAGTAATTCATCGGGTCTTAAAGCTTTAATTTGTGGGGAACCTAGAATTTTTGGAGTACTAATAAAAAATGCGATTTACAAAGAAAAATTTAATAATTTGTAATTGCATTTCTGTTTAATGTGAAATACTATTATTTTTTTATTTTGTATGTTTTGACTTTTGGGCATTTTATATTTTCAAATTATACTCGAATACAATTGTCGTGCATTGCACGAATGCAAATACTAGCTTATTAAATAGTAATAGAGTTATAAAAGTATACAAATAATTTTATATGGCAAAAATGCAGTAAAAACAATTTCATCCAATAAATTAAAAATGAATAATACAACATCTAAAATACAATGTATACCTTTATTACTATAGAAAAATGACAAAAATCATGAAAATAACATGGATTAACACATAGTCCGTACTATGTTCTTAGATAAGAGTATTTTGAAATTTTATATTATAAAGTAATTATAAAAATGATAAAATTAAAATTAAGTGTACCGACAAATGTCTCCATCTAAGTTGTCAATTTAGCATATGGTCGCATGTTCGTATTTAATTTATAAATGGACTAATGTAGTATAACTTAATGGTATCATACTTAATGTTTGGTAATTGAAATAAATTTCGAGAGATACAAAACATATTGAAAACGACATTGCTAAAATTTTTAGGGCCAATGTTTGATATTTTTTATTTTAGGGCCAATGTTTGATATTTTTTATTTAATAAAAATGACAAGTAAAAGTTGAATAAATTGGCGGAATGTAATTTTATGTGGTATTTTATATATTTGTAAATATTCAAAATCATTACATTGTGGTTATTATAAATGGTTTAATGGCTCAATGAGCAATGTATTTTACTACAAGTTTAGAGAAGCCAACAAGCAAATCAACCTACCGACAATGTGAGACAAAATAAGAATGTTTGATGTGTCAAACAATCAAATAGTTAAGGGCATGTTTGATTCGCTGTAAAATATTTTTCAATGAAAATGTTTTGTTTTTTTTAAAAAAAAAAAAATTGAGGAAAACTATTTTTTTTTTTTTTTGTTTAGTTCATGGAAAACATTTTCCTTAAGAATGAGGAAATCATTTTTTTTATGGTCCTCCCTTAGTATTTTATTTTCCATAAAAAACAAGTAGGATAATTATGCCCTCACGAACTTTTCTTAATTACCATTATTATTGTTGTTGTTGTTATTATTGTGTAGGGATATAATTGTCTTTATACTCATTATTCCTTACCATCCCAAACACAACCAAACAATGAAATCAATATTTCCAATAACTTATTTTCCACCAACTAAACATTGTAATTAATTTTCACAATAATTTTTTTTCTATTAAATTTCAATTTTATTTTTTCTCAAATATTTTTCGTGAACCAAACGGTCTGTAATATAATGAGAATATTAGTCCTATAGATAGAGGTTTTGACACAATATGGGGCATACTGTAGCACCATACCAAGCCATAAACAACCAATTTCTATTGGGAAATTGTTTAATATATTTATTATCATATCAGTTCAATTCTCTATGTGGAAATTGTTTATTTTTCCTCCATGCAATGGAACTCCCTATTCCCTCCACACGAGAAGGATGCTCAGAAATCAGAATATTAGCAATAATATATTGTTTAGTTAATTTAAAACTTAATTTATTATGCCTCACAACTTATTGCCATTCTACATGTAAATAAGTAATTAACCTTTCAAAATATTTTATTTAGTAAATTATTCAATGGCAGGTAAAATTTATTCTTGTCCTTTTTTTTTTTTTTTAATAATATAATAATGGAAAAATGGCACTTTTTCCCCCTGAGTTATATACTTATAGCACTTTCCCCCCCTGAATTATTTAAGTGGCCCTTTTTCCCCCTAAAATGTTAAATGGACATATTTACCCTTAAAATAAATATTTAAAATAAATATTTCATTTATTTTTCTTCTCCAACAAATTATTACTATAATTTGGTTCAAACCAAACAGATATTATAGCAACCAAACCAAAATATTCCAATTACAATTTAGAATCAAAACGCGATATTTAGAGTTTATTAAAATCGCAAATCGAAATGGCCGGTTCATGTTCCGAACTGAAAAAATAAAATACATTTATTGTTGAATTTAGACTATTTTAAAATAAAAAATAAAATAAAATTTAAAATAAAGACGGTTCAAAATCACGAACCGGATCCGAAACCGCATGATCCAGTTTTTTTGGTTCATAAATTTAATAAATTGAAATCTAAATATTGGATTCTAGATCTGAATCATAACCGGAAACTTTTAATTCGATTGCTATAGTGTCCGGTTCAGTTCGTACCGAACCGTGGTCATTGCTACATATACACAATAATTTGTTGGAGAAGTAAAATAAATAAAATATTTACTTTAAGGGTAGAAATGTCAATTTAATATATCAGGGGGAAAAACCACCACTTTTAAAATAATTGAGGGGGCTAATGTGCTTACATAAATAATTGAGGGGGAAAGAGTGCTATAAATATATAACTTAGGGAAAAAAAGTGTCATTTTTCCTATAATAATTGATTATTGATATATAGTGGATCAATGAATTATGGTGCAAGGTTATTAGTAGAAATGGGTTAAATT